ACAGCACCGCTCCCATCCTTGCTTGCCTCAAAAAATCCTTCACTACTTCTTCCAGAAGCAGGCTGGAATGCACGTGCATGGTCAGATCACCCTCTTTCATAGCTATGATGTTTATAAACAACTGCTTTATTTTTAAACCAAAGGCACAAGCGTTCCTGCCCAGCAAGCCCCAGAGCTGCTTGATGGCAGAGTCACTCATTCCAAGTCTGTCATGACCAGATCACACCATCACCTCGCTGCATCTATTCCCATCATTTTTAAGTTTGTCAACAAGACCTAAACTCCAGCGAGCACGATGGCAAGACAAGACACTGACTAGGAGTGTCTTTGCACCCAAAAGACCTCACACGCTACCCATGACCCTCAAGATATGAGGGACTTTTTGGGGGAAAAAGAAAAAAATCTTACTTTGAAATACCCCCATTAGATTATAAAACTCTAACTTGATGCCCTGCTAGGAATTTTTAGTGTCTTTTCACTGTATTCTAAGAGCATGTGAGCAAACCCCCCAACATTTAATGAAGTGTAAAACTAATTATTATGAAATAGAACTAGCTGTTCACAAAGTGGAAAAACATCCCATTTTCACATCCTATTTTCCTTTTAAAACGTATTCCCTCCCCATCATCTCGCATACTTCGCAAATGTGAAAATAAATATTCTTCACAGCGGAGTGCTGGCTTGCAGGCGACGAGCCCAACAGTAAAAAGCTTCACAATTTAATGGCCCTTAAATGCTCAACATCTTTTTCACTTAATGTAAAACCCATCCGATCTAATAGCTGTGACTGAATTACATGTGTGTTTTTTCTATTAAAAGTTAATTTTCTGAGTTGGCAGGGCAATACACGCATTAGATTAAAAATAAAAGCAGTAATCTCCATCAACTTCCCAGGATTCAGAGATATTTCCAAGTCAGCTACTCAAAACAAGAAGAAAAGGAGTCCCATATCCACTTCTCGACGTGCTATTCCATAGCAGGAACGTTGTGCCAACCGCCAGTCACAGGCTGCATTACCTGATTAATGTTGCTTTACTGTTTCCTGGAACTGACCACAAGATCTCTCCTGAAGGAGCCCTCAAACCTGCGTTTCTCTTACATCTGACATCTCGGTGACCTCTGCTTTCTTCCTCTATCAGCGCTGTTTGCCTACAAACACGCAGACACGCAGAGCTTCCTTTGCTGGCCGATTTTACCCAGCGCATGGACTATCATTGCCATGGGAACCTCCCTGACAAGCAGACAGCCCAGATCTGACCTTCCCCTTCACGAGTCAGTTGAGCCAAAACAAGAAGCTTCTATACAGCACAGCCAAGACCGGTGTTAACTCAGTTCGACCCTGGAGACTTCCCCCTTTGCACAGGATCTAAGCAATCCACACCCACCAAAACCTGTGCTGTGATTTTATAGTTTCACCAGGACCAAGGCAACAGGAGCCGGAGCAAGCACGTATGACGTGAAACACTGGATTAGTGTCCCCAGGGAAATCCAGATTTAGTTCCTCACTTCTGTGACATTCTTTATCTTGCCTTTATCTACACCGAGAAGGACTTTCTTCCCAGGGAAGTACTTGAAGGTCCAGGTAGGACTTTCCTCCCAAGTACAATCCCGCTGTCAAGAACAGCGCTACGCAAAGGGCAACTGAACCGCAATCCAAACTCCACGACCCCGCGCCGGCGCCAAGCTGGCCAACGCGCCGCAGCACGGCGCCTCCAACGGGAGGGCACGTTCTGGTCTGCAGCCGGAAGGGCACCGCGGAAGACGCACAGTTGGGTTGGTGGGTTTCCCTCCGCCCCCCAACAAGTAGCAACTTCTCGATCACCTCCGGTTTAGGATGACACTAACAGGAGAGACAGAGGAGTATTAAAGGAAAGAGTTTAAAAAAGCAGACACACCAGAACCAAAACACAACTTCCCAACTCCAGCTACCAATTCAAACTTCATGGAAAAATGGACATTTTAATTATTCCTTTTAAAAAAAGGCATACTGCAAGGGATGAAGCCAGCAATCATCCTCATGCTTCAAGTAACATGACATCAGGTTGAAGCTGCCAAAGCCATCCTGAAGTCATTTCCCACAATGAGAAAGCTCATACCTGTCACTAACTCAGCTGCTGGAACAAACCAAGTCCCAACACAGTAAGAAACTCCATGTAAAACCTCAGCATTTCCAGGTACCTATTCTGGTCTGGGTCAAGGAGGGGAGGAAGTGAGTATTTTCACCCAGCAGCTCACTTTTGAAGACATGGCTGGTGTTTAAGTGGCAGGTTAATCCTCCCCTCGCCTCCATAAAAGGAAGATGGCAAAAGTAAAATACTCTTAGCATAAAGAAATTACTGCGTCTACTGAAAAATAAAAGAGGATGTAAATATATTTGCAAAAGCTTTTAAATAATTAGCCCCGCTCTGCAGAAAAAAGCGGGGTTGGAGATCAAAATACCTACATGCAGTACCCCTGGGAATAGACAGAGCTATGGAAGTTACCAGTGAAAGCACTTCAGGGTGCCCTGTAGATCAGCTGACAGAACAGCCAGAGGGAAGGTACCGTCGCATCAAACCTTGAAACGGTTCTAAGTGCAAGTTCCCTTCAGAAAAAACTGAAAGCCATTATATACTCATATACCTTTTTTTCCCAGGTCAAATTAGAGGTTTACAAGAACCCTAAAGAAAGTTGCTGCTTACCGGCTCGGAATACAGGCCACTCCTTCAGAGACCCGAGGGAGAAACCAGCATTCCAGTCACTGTTTAAAGTTTCACTTACATTGCTCACACCCCAAGAGCTCAACCTTACTCACTGTCATGTCCCAGAGGCTGGACAAGATAATCCCAGTAACCAAAACCAGATTAACTACGCTGAAGGTGAAGTTACGGAGCCCTTCACCTCCACGTCACACCAAACGCGCGGTGGTGCGCAGACACCATCCCGCTAAGACCGCGTCACACGAGCCGGGGTAGCAGCATAAGCCGTTAAGCGAGTACGCTTCCATTAAGAGCGGCAGTAAAACTTCACTGGCTGCCCCCCAGACTGAATGACTGACATACAGCTTGCCCTGCCCGGTGCAGAAGTGGCCAGAGTCGATTTACTCTGAAGAACTAACAGCAGCAGCTTTCAGTCTCTGTCAACATCACCAAAATTTTACCCACCAGGCACTGGAAACAGACAGGAAAACCCAATAATGCCAGCAGATATCTGAAACACAGATGTGTTACCTGGTATTTGAGAGCATTCAAGCGAGTCCAACATCCTTCACTACCCAGACTATTCTGACAAACCATTTACATTTCTTTACCTTTCACAGATTCGACCGCTACAATAAGAAAAAGAAGAAAACATTTTATTGATAATGCAGTAGGGGAGAAAGTTAGAAAAACATACATAGGACTCCCTCAACAAGGAAACATACAATATCAAAATATGCTAGAGTTAGTATGCCAAAACAATTTCTCTCTGGTTAGAGTTTCAAGTAATGCAATCATAAAAGAATTTGGCTAAAAAGTAACAAATATTCTGAGATGTTTTCTGTAATAGTCCTCTAAGAAATTAAAGGAAAGCAGCAGGAGATCTGTTTAACTACAAACACCTATTTAGTAAATATATTAAGTGTATTTATATAATAAAAACTGCCCTGCCCATTCATCACTATGTCTGCATCCTCTTCCATGTGGCAGTTGCCCCTGCAGTTCTACAGGACTGCCCAAAAAAAGGGACAAAAAAAAGGGAAACAAACATAATACTACTAAAAAATGAGACCCAAGCCTGTGAGGTACGACGTGTTGGGAAGCTCAGTTACCACGCAGCAGAAACCTGCACTCTGACTTATTTTTCAGTAGCAGAGAAGCTTAACTTTCTGCGTCGGGATGCCAGAGTCCTACAAGCAAACGCTTTTCAACCGAGTAGGCTGAAGGTGGCTGCTGATAGCTCCACACTCGCTGCTCCAGCAAAACAGCCACATGCCATCAGGCTGGTTGTTCAGTTACTTCCTTTGAAGAGTCCCAAATTTCATGTTTTCTTTCATAGCACTTACTTATGGGAACATCATCCTTCAGTTAAAAGCCCCGTCTCGTTTTATAGGTACATTCCAAGCAAATAAAGATTCTCATTTCATTAATCCTCACTATTTGCATCTTTCCCCATAAATAAGGTTATTGTACATAATTTACAGTTAAGAGGAAAATACCTCAAGCTTCCATGAACTAGTGTTTGGAAAGTCCGACACCCGAGTCCTCGTACACAGATGAACGAGCCGCTCAGGCCAGACCCAGATTAGGCCTAACAAGGAATGAAATTACACAGAAGCAGGACTCTTGCATTTAGATCAAAACACTGCTCTGGCAACCACGACACCCCAGCCCTACTGTTTTAGCCTGACCAGTCTTACAAAGCATTTGTGAAAAATCTTGAGGGAAAGGGGGAAGACAAACACAAAACTTAGTGTTTTGATGGAAAACCTGATTTTTAAGGTTTGCTAAAAGCAAAGGCACTACATCTTAAGCTTACATTTTTAAATAAGGTCTGTAACTTGGCCAGCCAAGCTACACCATACCCCTGAACACCTTTCATCTACCTTCGCAGCCGACTTACCGAGTACATTGTCACACGTCTCGACCAGCTTACATGACAAAAGAGCCGCTTTCTCTTAATTGCTGAAGGAGATATACAGCTACAATACTTAGCCAAGCTCATTTGAACATGGTTTATTTTTAACCAGACCATGGGAGTTCAAGTTCTAGGATAAACTGGAGTTTCTCTAGGCCTTGTTTTAAGAAGTGGTCAATCAGACATTAAAATAATGTGACTACTATGTCATCATTTTGACAGTCAGCTTGTACATCAATTTTAAAAGATGCTCTACATCTTTTATCAATCTACCGCAAGAAGTGTCAGATCTGAAACTCAGTAGCTCTATTTTACCGTTTCACAAGAAGAAACTATTTCAGCTTTGTAGGTCGTTTCATATTTGGAGGTTCTAACTGCAGCTATATTGTCATACTTCTAGAAGTCTCATGAAGGTTATCACTACCGTAATCACAGCACTCGTACAAGACGCAGCCACCTCCAAGAGCGATGGCACGAAGCACGTCAGCAAACAAGTCCCTGTCTCATTCGAATGATCTGGAGTAAAGCAGCTTGGACATCTTCATCCATGTGACCCTAGAGCAAAGAGTTAAGAGGAAAATTACAATTCCCATGAAGTGTCAGCCATCCATCACTAACATTAGGAGATTCTTCAAAACTACCCAAAAGCCTTAACCCTTTGCTGCATTTTCACCACTGGGAAAATCTGAAACGCTTCAGGAATCCTGCTCTTCTTCTCCTCGTGAGAGAAAGAAGGGTCTGCCGCCGAGACAGCGGTTTCCTCCATGAAACTATGGCATAGGAAAGAGTTACTCTTCCTATCCTCCAGACTCCACCACCTGCTGCTGCAGGTCCCTCTTTGGCACGCTGAACTATCTGAGGTCCCAAGGCTTCCATCAGTCGATCAGCCTCTTTGTTCAGTGAGAGACACTGCGTAAGTCTGCATGAAGTTTCCAGCTTTTCTCTCCAGCATTACCTGGGATGGTGCAGAATTAACATGCATCACCCATCAACAGGTTACTGTCATACATGTTGGAGGCAGACAAGGGCACAGAAGGCCAGAGCTGTGGTGGGCCACTGCTGCTTGCTGGACCAGTCCTTTCTAAACTAAACCCCTCATCATGACAACAGGTACTTGAAACTGGTTTCACGTTTATTCTTTTCCCAGCATGGCAGTTAGAAAAGTGTCTCAAGAACCTCTACGTTGAGATAAGAGAGTAAAACCACCTGAGCTTGCGACTGTCATACCTGCACAGCACTAAGAAGATGTGTCCGGTAAACTGAAACTACCTCTTGATGCTGCCTTTTCGCATCCTGTAAAAAGGAGATAAGAAGAGGAGGTGAAGTCATCACATTTTTTAACATCTACTCTCGCCTATTTCCAACTTTGTGGGCCCGGTTTCGTGCACTTACAGACTCACCAAAGCAGAATTTCGAGGTTAAAGTTAGCTCTATCCCCTCCACTAATCAAGACAAACATGCCACCACTTCACTTTTTTACTGCTTACTTGCAGCAAAGCCATTTTGCTGAAGGGCTGTCAGACCCTGGCTGATGGGATGCCAGCCCAGGTGCTGAGATGAAAAACTTGCTTCATCAACACCATTAGCGATCTGTTTAAAACCACCCCCTGGAAGAACACTCTGCCTCGTAAGGGTCCACAAACAGTAAAGATGTATACTGCTTCTGGTACAAACAACTAACTTTGCTCACATTCAGAGCTGTAATTATGGGCTTTTTTGAAGTCACAGGGGCCACAAACGTGTGTGCACAGAAATCACAGCACTTGCTGTAAAGCACTCCCCATTACTGCTAGCGCTTCATTAGCAATACACTTCGCAGTGTTTGCAGACAAGGGAACCCATGAAGATGTCTCTCCCCAAAGTGAGAAAATACATGGTTGCTGGGTTTTTTTGCAAGAAGCTATTAACGTGGAGCTTGCGTAAGGAAACGGTCTTGGCATGAACTATGGCAGCCTATCTCACAAGCACAAATTCTCTCCAAACCATTTGTGTCCCTTTCATCTGGAAGAGTTCAAGTGTTGCAACTCTCAGGTGCAGAAGAAGCAGGCAAATTTACAGGGAAGCAAGCAGCCAGGAGGAAGAAGAGAGAGTCACGAATACTCCTGAAGCCTAAGCCTGCAGTCAGCCCCAGTGAGCACACACGTATTTCCTCGTTTACGCCCTAAGCCAAGCACTTCGGACGCTGCCTTGCAGCAGCACTTACAGCCAGCTGCTGCTGCAGCGTTTTCACTTGGTTCTGGAGCATTTCAACTTGCTGGTTCTGCCTCTTGGAGGGAATCCCCGTGGTGTACGTAAGCTGAGACAAGCCATTAAGAGCTTGTTTTAACCGCTCGACGTCATTAAGTAGCTCTGTTATCTTTTAAAAAAAACACAGAAAATCATCATTTAAGGGTGTCTCATTTAGGGAAAACAAATATTCTTTAACTTGCTTTAAAGCCTGAAGACTACAATGAACAGTCAGAGATGCTACAGCCCCAACATAACAATGAGCTTTTACCCCAAAAGTCTGAAACTCAGCTTGGAAGCTTGAGTTTAATCACTACACATGACGCCTCAAACACAGGAGTGGTTAGAGGAACTTACTATGCTGCTACCAAAACCAGGACTTCACCGTAACACATCTGGGTACGTAACGTCCACAGACCATGGCTGAACACTCGGGTAGCTGAAGTCTGGTTCCTCACCACTACACGGGAAAGGTCAAGAGCATGAACTGGCACATCCTACCTTGTTATCCTTGGCTTCCACCTGCTTCGCAGATTCCTGTATTCTCTTCTGCAAGTCAATAATTGTTGTCAGTGATTTATCACACCTTTCTTTCTGGTCTTTAATTTCTTGCTCAATGCTGCAACTGCGCAGCTGAAGCAACTCCTTTTCATCCTTTAAGGAAAGCTCGCTCTTCTTAGCCTGCAGAGCCTCCTCACGTGCTTCCTCGTACTTTTTATTCAGACTGGACAAGGTTTCAGCTATGCTATTAATCTGGGCCTCCAGAGTACTTTTCATGGATTTGTATTCCGACACATCGATCACCTCTCTGCTCTCCAGGTCGGTCAAAGCTTGCTGAGTAAGCCGAATCTCAGACTGCAACGCCAAGATTTTCTCATTTTTCACCTGGTTTTCATCTTCTTTTTCTTTCAAGGTGTTTTTGGTCGCGGTGATTTCTTGTTCCAGCATTTCCTTCATTTCTGTATACTCTACCAAAGGTACCGAAGATCTTTTTAGATCTGACAACTCCTGCTGTAGTTCTCCTACTCTCCGTGTTTCTTTGTCGTAACACTCCTTCTTGCTTCTGAGAGCTTCCTTCAGATCCTCCACCGTGTGACCAAGAGCCTTCTTCAAGGCTTCAATCTGTTCTACTGCAAGATGCTGAGCCTGCGTAGCCACGGGCCGCTCAGTACTCTCCTGCGGCTCCTCTCTCTCCCCCGTGTATTTCTGCAGCAATTCTCTCAGCTGCTCATTCAACTCTCCCATTCTGCTTGCGAACATTTTCTCCATTTCGCGGGACTTCTCCGCAAGGACATAGTTCTGCTGCAAGTCGCTCTGGATGGACCGAATGCCGGTTTTGAGCTTTTCATTCTCCTGCCTCCACGTCTTGTTCTCCTCCTCGCTTGCTCTGTACTTCTGCGCCTGCTCCTGCAGCTGTGCTTGCAGCTCCTTCACTGCGGCCTCAAAGCTTTGTTCTCTGTCTTCAAAGGAGGCAACCGGGGCGTATTTTGACTTAATGCATTCTTGAATCGTGTCAAGCTCCTTCTTCTGGGCTTCAATTTCTGCATGCAACCCTGAAATTTCTTCTTGACCCCTCTTATATTCAGCCACAATCGCAGCGTTCTTCTCCTGAAGTTCCTGCAGGCTTTTATTTAAGGCGGTCACGGTAGTTTCGTGATCTTTTAAACTTATATACTCTGCTTGTAGCTGATTCTCTAAGAGTTTCACCTTATTTTTCAAAGCCCCATTTTCTTCATTTACCCTCACGAATTCTTGCTTCACCTCCTCAGTTTTTTCCTTCAGCTCTGACAGCTCCCTGTTTGTTTTTTCTAGCGTGTTATTCCAAACTGTTTTCATCTCTTCGTGTGTTGTAGCCAACACATACTGATCCCTCAGAGTCTCTCTTATGACCGTGTTTTCAGAGACTAGCTTGCACACTTTTGCTTGTTCACCATCATACTTTTTCTGAAGCTCAGCAAGCTGCTTTTCAAGTACAACGCCATCAGATTTTAAAGCTTCCACTTCCTTTTCGTGCTGCTCTGGAGACAGGTACACAGCTTGGAAGTGGCTGATGCTCTTACTTAAATTGTTCTTCTCCGCCAACAACTTTTCAGCTTCTGCTTTGCTGTCATTATACTTTTTTGTTACTTCAAAAAGCTTTTTGGTCAGGTCACCAACAGTCACATCAGTTGTTTTCTTCAACTCTTCGTGAATTTTTAAAGGCACATTCTGGCTTTTAATTTCGGTTTTTATCATCTGGATTTGCTGCTTAAGCATCTTGTTATCAACCTGCAATCTCTCAAGTTCCTTCTGCAGGCTCTGATTCTTCTCTGATAACTCAGAAATTGTCTTCCCAAGCGCCTCGTTTTTTTGCTCAAACCCACTCCTCATTTGTTCGTGGTCTTCCGGCTTCACACGCTGGGCAAGTTCAGCTTTCTGACTCTCCAATTCCCTCTTTAAAAGCAGAATCTCTGCCTGCAGTTTCTCCCGCTCTCCTTCCATCTCCGCTAACTTCCTTGCTTTCTCATTCGCTTCGTTTGATAACGAACTCCTCATGTTCTCAAATTTCTCTGAGGCGACAGAGCGGGCTAACTTTGCTGCTGTTTCTTTGAGCTGCCCTTCTAACTCCACGACGCTTCTTCCCCTTTTATCTCGCTCCATCTCCAACTTCACAAGTTCCTTCTGCAACCTTTTATTTTCCTCCACTAGCCTTCCTTCATCTCTCTTAAATTCTGCCACCAGCAATTCATTCTGCTTAATCTGGTTCCTTAGTTTTCCCACTTCGGCAGAGGCTCCTTCATACTTTGTTTTCATGTCTTTCAACTGATCCTTCAGCTCCTCTGTCAGCTTACTGTTTCCCGACGCAGCTTCATTAGTCAGGTGATCTTTCAGAGCAAGAAAGTGGGCCTGCATTTGCTTAACTTTGCCTTCAGAGTCAAACATTCTCTTCTGTACATCCTTTAAAGCATCTTCCAGTTGTTTTATCTGTCCATCAGATTCCGCCTTGGTTCTTTCACACTCTGATACCAAGGCTTTACATTCAGACACCTTGTGAGACAGCTCTCTCTGCAACTTGCCGATTTCTTCTTTTGCTGCCCCATAGCAGATCCTCACGTTCTCGAGCTCTTTCTTTAAAGTTTCCTTCTCTGAACCGGATGATTGGCTAGGCAGGGAGAGCTCCAGGGGTCTCAGCATTGACCTAGACTGAAGATAAAACGGGCACAAGAATGGATACCCGTTTGCAAGTCACACGTACATACGACAGCTCGCATCTAGCTGTCTTAAACCTCTGTTGATACGAGCATAAAACCTGCCCGAGAGATTTCTTTTCTCTTAGAAGCACACTAATCTATTCTTGCCCATATTACAGAACCCGAGTGTTTTAGCTTTAAACAGTACAAGTCTTGAGTACAGCTCGACAGTACTGTTCCCCAGTTGTCAGACCCTACTGACACCGAAGTGAAGGTGTAGTACATTCGTTTAATTTCCCCTGTTACTCATATTTAATCACTCATCTGCTGGGAGGAATTTAATTTATTAAGAGACTCCCCCCATCCCTCAAGCACGTGAAAGTAGTTTTGAAAGGAATTAGAACAGAGGATGTCGTGGTTATCAGAACATTCCCTCTAAAAAGACTGAGGAAAACAGTCCAGTAGAGGATCTCAAAAAACCCAGCTTTGCCTTCCTGCCATGTGGTCTGCACTACCAACCCACGCTTCCCTACCAGCTGTGATGGCTCTTCCATGGTACAGCCTTGCTCCAATGATCTCATGGTCCAAGGACCAGAAAGCAGTATGTAGCTTCTAGCCATGCCTAGCTTCAAGCCACTTAAATCCCTGCTTGGGACAAGGTTTGGGTTTTTTTTAGTTGGTTGTTTTTTTGTGCCAGTGTTCAGCTTTATCTCTAGCCATCACTCACTTCTGGAAGCATTACAGCTGAAATACTCAAATGTGAGAACAGCTTGTCAGTAAGGAACAATCCCTATCACATCTGCCTCACCCAGAGCTTGACAGGCCTTATTAATATCCAAATTGCCTCTTTCAAAGGTAACTATCAGCAATACAAAACTGGCAGATAATCTTTATATAGCTGGCACGAAAAGAAAGTCTTCTGGGTTTTAGCTGAATTTAAAACAGGAAGAAATTAAGGAGGTGGCCAACCAGTTGCATTTCCCACTGCCTGTGGGTCCAGCAGTCTCTGGATCCAGCCCTAGGAACGCGCAGTACAGACCCATCAGTATTTCACAGCACTGAGCGCTATATCACACATGTAACTCTAGAGGGCACCAGCAGTTAAATATAGACACAGCAAAGCAAGTATTAGGGAAAAATTTGTATTCAGAAGCAATATTTAACATATTTACATTTATAAGTATATTTAGCTTTCCCAAGCATAACTATCTGGGACTCTCTCAAGTGGGAAAATATTTATTACCTGTGATTCCACAGCAAACGCTTGTCCTTGCTTAAGTAATAAATCTTCTTTTCCTAGATTTGCAAAGCAAACAGCATTCAGTCTCTGTTTAAAAGCAGTAACACGTAATCACAAGGCCTGTAATTTCCCTTTCTAACCCTGTTCGATGGGACCGCGCTGGGCTGTGTTCAAGTCATTCAAACAGCCCCTCCTTCACTAAAGCCAGACAGGGAGTCTGGACAACCTCCTGCTAACGAGAAAGATACCCCTGTGCCACGCTAGGTATTGTTCTGCAAACAGTCGTGAAAGCCACCCTGAGCTCCCTGCATGTCCACACGAGAACAGCCCAGGGAAAAGCATCCTCCTGCACCACACAGCAATAACCTTTCCTGGCAGGCAGGCCAACGCTCTCACGACAGCTCATGACAGGTGAAGTAGCACTTTAAGTTACACAAGTGCAAGACAGGCCTGCAACCAAGCTGGATGCACAAGCTCTGAGTTTCTGGAAATGGAATAACTCCCAATAGAGGTGTAAGCAGAGCATCTTGCATTTAAAGTCGCTTTAAAACCCATCTGCGCTCCGGCCTTCCCAACAACCACAGTTTTCTTGTCATGAGCGAAACACAAGTGTCGTTTAAGACAGGAAGAATGGAAAGGGGAAGACCCAATCTGGAGCAGAGCTCTTGCTCAGCTTGTTTTTCGTGTTACTAGGAGATGTAGCAGGGTTACAACATCCCTTCCACTCGCAAGCAAGACTGACCAGTGGTGCCCTAGCACTCGGGTACAAACACAGCTGGGAGGTTTGGAGTGTGGACATCAGGCTTGGCTCGAGTTAAGACCGACAAAAAGAAGTGATGACAAAAACCCCAGCCCTCTGTCCACGTATCCCAGCACTGCACAGTGTATGGCAAGTGTCAAGAATTAAATATACTTACTATTACCCAAGTTACTTCCAGATCCCACAAAGTCAACCTAAAAATCAAACGGAAAGAAACACAAAAATAGAGCTGAAAATTCTTTTCCAATTTTTCCTATTTGTTAAACTGGGGATTAAAGGGCAGGGAAAGCCTTTACAATGGGATAACCATTTAAGACTTGAGCAGTTTAAAACTGCTCAAGTATTTACTTCTGTAAGCATCACTTGCTATATGACAGTTCAACTCAACGTACTTCATAATATTTGAGTTTAGCTCTGAGAGCTTCAATGGTTCTTAAGCTTTCTTCCTGCTGCTTTTCCTTGGCAGTTAGGATTTTCTTCAACTCCTCTTTCTGAAAGAAAGCCCAAGCCTCAAGAACGGCCAGGTTTACAAGATCTCAAGCAACATTTTAAAGTTTAGGGAGAACTTCAGCCAAGACCAGCACCGAAGGAACACCTAGGGTCTGGATTCGGAAGTTCTTCCACAACACAGCTCCTCTACAAGGAGTCCTGAAGTCAAGGGAACAGGTACCAATATGTACCCACATAACCTGCTATTGTTTCATTTATTCTCAAGAACGGCCAGGTTTACAAGATCTCAAGCAACATTTTAAAGTTTAGGGAGAACTTCAGCCAAGACCAGCACCGAAGGAACACCTAGGGTCTGGATTCGGAAGTTCTTCCACAACACAGCTCCTCTACAAGGAGTCCTGAAGTCAAGGGAACAGGTACCAATATGTACCCACATAACCTGCTATTGTTTCATTTATTAGTCTTGCGCTGCTGAAAGTCCCTGAAGAGAGACTTTACTATTAAGTCTGCTTTAAAAGGTGCCGCAGGGATTACATATATTATTTGTAGCTTCAGAAATGCCACGCAGCTGTATGAACCGAGTACGCATCAGTAGGGATCTCATTCAGCAGTTACAGATAGCTTTTGCTTTCTCTAGGCTTTCGAACACCGTCGTTTAAATGCAACAGTCACATCCCCTATTTCACCATTCTATTACACTTTAAGGTGATGCATCGTACCTCATTTTCAAGATCATCTGCAAACATTTGCTCCTGCAAAAATAACAAAAAAAATTCCCCCACAAATCATTTTCTCAGTAGTGTTTAAGGGGCTTATACAAAGTTCATCAGCTGACGAGTCCACCCCAGTTTCTAACCCTACATCCTCTGACTGTTCCCCTTCCATTTACCACCTAACCTCTGGCAAAGGAAATCACAATAAACACAAGTTAAGGATGCTCAACAGAGCCACGTCTCGACACGTGTACCAGGGAACAGGAATACCTTGCCTCAGTCACACACTACTGAAGCAGAAGAGATAATTTTAGAAAGGGATATTAAAAAGCTTGCTAATTTTGGAAAGGGATATTAAAGAGCTTGTGGTTTCTTTTATAAAGACAATGCTTCAGAGAAGTTGAGACAAGCCAATGATTACAAGAAGTATTCTTTCTATCCACGTGCTACATTTAAGAAGTGTATGCAGCTTCCCCAAAATGTACCTCTTCAAAAATACAGTGAAGGAACAAGTGTTCCACAAAGCACAAAAGAAAAAAGATCAATCTTTTCATCTTCCTCAACTGTACTGGTCATTTTGACCTGTAAGAGGAAGGAACTTTTAAAAACAGGGTTTCAAATTTGAGTGAGAAATTCCCTATTGAAAACCCATGTTTCCGTTTTTGCCAACTGAAGATTCTTCTGTGTTCCCACTTAGGGACACAGCAGAGAAATAAGCAGTGGCTGTGACAAAGCACTGACACAAGCCCTACATTCAACCGTGCAGATGAAGTCTACTCTCCCAACTACAACACACCAGAACGCCCCGTGGGTCAGGCTATGCCGCGAAGCGTAGCCACAAGTGTTATTTATGTACTTTATGAGCATCTGTGAATGATGCTGTCACATGCCTCCTCATATTCCAAACACTATTACAAGACCAAAGACTTTGGCAGCAGCAGAAAACGACAGTGACAGACAGAAATAACTCTCAGGAAAGCAGCAAAGACCACATCCTAATTACATGTGCTTCACTTTCTACTTCTCCCAGCCTTCCCTGTCAGCCTCAGGTGGTTATTACACCCTTCAGGTTATTCCCATACCAGGTTTACCTCGTTCAATTGCAGTTGCAGCCCACCAATTCTATCCAGCAGCATCCTTTGCTCCTCCTGCACTTCTCTCATTCGATCCTTCAAATCTTGATTTTCTAACTCCAATTCCTTAAGAAATAAGTAAAAAAATTAAAATTTAAAAACCCAAACTCCCACCACATTACACACAGATTGCAAAACCGAAAGAACCTGAACTAACAATCTGAACAGTCATTAAGGACAACCAGCCTTGCCTAACAAGTCCCTAATGGTTTTGTGGCCTTACTCCAGGTCCGTTTCATTCTGAAGGTTTACATAAGCACAAGCCCCAGAGTTGAAGCTTTTCAGCTCTGTGTATTTCCTTCTCTGCTAAGTGTACATACAGGTTTTGAAGGTACGAGCAGAGTAAGATTACATTCAGCGCTGACGGCACTCAAGAGGCTGCTTATCTGCTGTCTGTTAACGAGTGAAAATAACTAGTGCTAAACCAGCTCCTGAAACCCAACGGCGGCAGCCAACGGTGTAACGACAGAGCCTCACCGGCGTGAAGCACGGCAACCCTTCAACGTACCGACCGCTCCACAGCCACCAGAATCACCCCCGTAAGGGCCCATGGGCCCAGCACGCGGAAGCGACGGGTCTGCGCCGTCAGTCAGCCTGCTGCTCACACGCGGAGGGTGAAGCACGTTCAACTCTTGCCCAATAATCACCGCCCTAACCATGGCAGCTCCTTTAGCTCTGCATTTAGAGATCTTTATCCTTTCATTACACAGCAGTTGAGAACAAAGGCCTCAGTTTCTCAGTGCTTTGTTCCCCATAACTTGAAGTGCTGTTTACCTTTTTGAAAACTAATGACACAGTAATGAGATGAGAAAATTAATACTGGGTTAATAGAACAATTATGACACGGGTTATTTTTAGTACGATACTTCAACACATACCTCTTGAGAACATTAAAAAAAAATAGATCTTCCTGGTTTGTGACCCTATGGTTTTACTGCAGGCGCAAGTATTAGACAGAAGGGTAAGACATGAAGAGACTTGCAGCTATTCATTACACAAACAAGTGTTTTTTTCCTGAAAGTTTACCGCTTATCAGCATAATTGCCACATTACACAGTCATGCAATTAAGTTTTAAGTAAACAGCAACACATGACCTTTCTTAATGGAATCACTAAGGCTGATTTACAAGCACATCCTGTCTTCAGTACGTCTGGTTCGTTATGCATATGAGAGTACGCCAGGCAGACATCCTTCTCGCTTACCTGAGCGTTCTGGTCCTTCTGATACAGCTTGACACTCACCTCCTCCTGGGCATGCAGCCGGTGCCACTTCTGTGACATGTTAGTAACCTGTTGTTGCAACAGAAAAGTATGAATTTATGTTCCTGCTGTGTTCTGCAGCCACTTCTGGGGGCAGGGGTCTGCTCTCAGCCTCCACCCCCACTGGGGTCAACCCTACCAACATTCAGTTTGACAGTGCTGCTCAGTTAAGAGGTCACTCATGACCTCATCCAGACAGGAATGGGATGCCTGTCAAAACTCCTGACTATGCACACCATGGATGTTTTTCAAATAGACACACCAGCTGATTGCAGAGGGAATCTCCTCAGCTACATGCAAGTTCGGAACTCAAAACCTACGGAACCGGTTTGGCATCACAGCACAATCCTAAATCACCCTCAACAGTACCAGTGATGTACTGCCCTAGGAGCCACTTAGCACCAGCAGCCTTACCTTCTGCTCAGGCTGCCCTTTCTTCAGGGTCTCTCTTCCTAAAAAAGCACCACAACATAAGAAGTTAAAAAAAATGCATTTTACTCATGCAACACATTCAGCTAATTCTGTCAAGTTCCACTCTCCAAAGGACATTTCTAGAAATAAATTCACCACCCCCCTGGTTAATCAGGTATGGAAACATTCCCAAGCACAAAGGTTTTCTATAAATAAGGGTAAATAACTCTTATAATCAATACTGCAGTGCCAGGTTCAGCAAAAAAAATCAGAGCCCGCATTAGCCCTAAAAGCTTTGCTGAAAACAAAACCCACAGGCCTTCTTTCCCCTCCCAAACAGGCAGCTTATGGCCTTTTTGTTCAGACGACTACAGCTGCCCTCCAAAAACAGTTCCTGAAGACAGAGCAGTGGGAAGACACAGCTCGCAGAAGAGACCAACAGCAAACCGTTACAGCCATGTTCTCCGTACCTTTGCTGGAATCCTCAACGGCAGCTTTTATTAAAGCCAAAATGTCAATATTGTCACCGATTCTGGCATAGTAAGCACAGTCATGCCCAAGGCCATCAGTCAAACTAACATCCGCTCCGTTTCTGAGCAAAACTTCCACTGCATCCTTGCAGCCGTATTCACAGCCCAACATTAGGGCCGTCCTGAGGATGGGGAGAAAGATGCATTCAGAGACCCAGGGATCTTGCGCCTCAACGGAGCCATCACTTAGAGAAAGAATCCTCCATACAGTTATGTCTAATGGAAACTTGAGTCAAGGAATCTTTCCTCTATGAAGAGAGGAAACTAAGCTTTGAAACATTGCTTAGTCAATCTTTAAATATTTGTTAAAAAGCAAACAAACTGTAATAGCAGTATTTTCATGAAACCCAGCTTAATCCTACTGCCTTTGAGAGCCACCCAGTGTTTTGAGAACTCAGGTGACTCTTGGCTTCCTCTCTAGAGGGAGATCTCAACAGACACAACACACACAAGAAGTTTAGACTAAGTTCAGGGGGACAAGTGCTTGGGAGCCCTGGCAAAGCCTTCCAAACACTTGCCAGCCCCAGAACATGCCATGCAAGTACCCATGCCTTGTCCCACAACAGCATCGTGTCCATTGGCCACCAGGCAGTCACCCTCCAAGAAACAACTGGCAGGAGTAGGAGCCACAAAGAGAAAACTCCTCTCTGATCCCCTTCATGAATAAAGGGGCAAACATTTCCAGACCTTTAGGTCCCTTTGGAGCACCAATGGGACTCACAGTTCTTCTTGACAGAGTACCACTTCCGTGACGATCCACTTTGCATGCTGATCCCAAAAGGGTGCAAGACACAGCTTAGGACAAACCCTTACAGCAACCGCCTGCAGCTTCTCTGCTGGCAGCAACAAGCCTGTATGTATTTTAGATGCAAGAACAAGCGCCACCGTTATCCGCAGCATTGCGCTGGCACGTCTACTCCTGAACTAAATCCCAAGTTCTTTTCCCCTGAATTTAGCATGTTTATTCGTAGCCTGAAAGCCAAGGGACAGCCTTCTTGGACTTAGAGGACCCCGTAAGCACCAGCAGGCGTTGCGGGAAGCCGCCGCACACGTTACCTGTTTTGTTTGTCCCTGGCATTGACATCGGCCCCTCTGTCTATCAGAAGCTGACACACCGTGGGACGACACATCTGAGTGGCCAGCACTAGCGGTGTCCTCCCGTCCTGGGGAGAGGAAGAGGGAGAGACATAAGGGAAGGGAGAGAGAGCAGAGCAAGGACAACGACTCCAAGAGGGTTTGTAGGGGAGAGCTGTAAGCAGCAACTTACTCCGTCTTTTGAATTCACTGAGGCCCCATGATCGCACAGCAGTTGTATGCTAGTGGAACAGTCTGACATAGCTTTCGACAGAAAAAGAGAGAGCAAGTTACCCTGCTGGAAACAGCCTCCGGTGAAGCCTCAGACACCTCCCGGGGTGCAGCTGCCTCACAATAATTCACACAACTAAGTTAAAGTGTGACGTGGCTGGGGGTTAGTTCTCACACAGCCATCTCCAAAACACATGGCGAGGGTGGGGGGAAACGCTGCAGTTGAAGGCAGCGCGCAGTGTAATGAGGATTCAGACAACCCAAAGGGAAGGTGCCTCAACTTACGAGCAACGCTGCTCCCAAACGCTGCTGTGACACCTGCTCGAGATTTTACTAGACAACATGAGCAGCAGAAGAGACTTTCAGACCTACAACCTCTGCCAAGTCTGTTAACAAGTTTGTTATCAAGGACAAACATCGTGACAACATAAAACGATCTCCTCCTACTACAGTCACCAAAATTAAAAGAGAAGAATTTGACCCATCTGAAAATTAATTCATTATGCACCTGGATTTCCTGCTACAGTTACCAGAAAAGCAAAGCCTTTTACCTGCATCATGAAGAGCAGTTCTTCCTTGAAGATCCACATTCTCCGTTGGACAATTGTACTGTTAAAAAAGTAACCCCGGTTATCAGTCAGGAATCAGACTGCACTTGCAAAACCCAAAATGCTTTGAGGGTTGAATTAAAGCAATAAAGTGACTTCAGGGGGGGGGAAAAAAAAAAAAAAAAAGTATCTTCATAAGCTATAAACTTACTTGACGTAAAAGAAAAAAAGAGCCATGGGTACACACACTTCAGCATTCTGAACACACCAGTGAAAATGTCATAAGTTAAGACCATGCAATTCACAGACTGCCCAGAAACACTTTCAAATGTTTGTTCACTGTAACCAAGATTCTCCGCTACCAGTATCCCTTCTAGTTCTGGCACCCCCCAGAAAACATGCCATTGAACAGGCTGCCCAGAGAGGGGGTGGAGTCTCCTTCCCTGGAGACTTTCCAAAGCTCCTGGACTTGTTCCTGTGTGATCTACTCTAGGGGAGCCTCCTCTGGCAGGGGGGTTGGACTAGATGATCTCTAGAGGTCCCTTCCAACCCCTTCCACTCTGAGCCCGTGAATATTGTTTCTTAACGAAAGATTACTGGATATAAATGCCAGTCTTTTGACAGAAATGCTACTCTGAACAGACCTTTCAGTGTTACTGTTCCTAGAGGCAAACGTGTTCAGAAAAGGAGCACTAGGCTTTAAAAGACACTCAACCCTATTTTTTTTTTAAGAGGCAGAAACTGGAACTTGATTTGTCTATGTGACAAGAGCAGAAGTTGCTCATTTTCTTTATTTTAGCACTCTCTCAAAAACAACCTGTTCTAGAGTATGAAATGGTCTTTCCCCCATGCTGGTCTTATCTTTGAAAAAGAATTTTATTCTTTAAAAAAAAGCTGGATGAGTGGCACATGGTGATTTTGAATCGGTGTATTTAAGATCCCCTTTTTTCCTCAAGAGTAAGAGCCCTAACAGATAAGTTGTATTTTTCAGTACCTGCAACAGCTTCTGCAAACACAAAGCATGTCCGTATTTTGCAGCTAGGTGCAACGCGTTTCTGCCTAGAAGGGGAGATCAGCATCAATTCAGGATCCATTTTGAACATACGTTCAGAAACACCCGACAAACCCAACAGGCCTACGCCGCTTCTCAGTCTGCTGTTAACCACATAATGCTAACCCATGGGAAGTTACCTGTACTTCACCAAAGCACAGCACAGGTTAACTCATCTCAAAGTCTCCTCCTCCATAACCCCGTAAGCTTCACACTGCTCACGTGCTAGCTGCATGAAGCAGACATGCGTGTCATTAGGCTGACAGACTGACTGCACAACAGTTTAGATCAACATCCGCCTCATTTCATTCATTTCAGGTACAATGATCACTTCCCTAGCCCCCAGTTCTGCTAGTACAACTAAGTCATCTTTCTCTCATTTACTCCACTGTTTGCTAAAGAATTTCTTACTTTAGACAAACTGCAGCCAAGGATTCGAGTTCATGAATAGCAAAATTAAGCTCAAAAATACTGCAAATGACTGCACATAAGCATTAAAAAAAAACTCATATGAAAGGAGGCCAGATTATTTCTGTAACGAAGTTGAAAACAAGGCAATACTGGTTAAGCCTATTAAATTATGAGGTAAACAATCCAAGGCAAAATTAGCACCCAATTTTAATTACCTCTTTCATAACACTTTCACATAAACTCCGATCTCACGCATGCAAACCACGGAGGTAGCACCGAGGCACCCTGAGGTTTTAGGGCTCGGTACGGGTGCACGAACACCTCCCGCATCGTTTAATTCTGATCCTCATGGTGTGCAGCACCTCACAAGTTTGTGAAATACACTTCGTATTTAAACAAGCACAAATTGATTTAAAATCCTTCTTACACAGTTATTCTCAACCAGAAGTAGCGCTCTCGCCAGCGAGACTGGAGCAGCTACGCAGGGTTATAGCAGCACAAAGCCCAAGCTCACAAGTCCTGCTGCCCGTCAGGGGCGTTCCTGAGCCGCTGTCACTGGACGTGACCGGTCTCCTCTACATTCACCAACGAGTCACACAGATGAGAGATTTTTGCCAAACACAGGGAAATCCGTGGAAAGGAAGAACATCTATCCTACAGTTCAGCTTAATCCCACTCCAAAATAGAATCCAAGCCGAGAGCCTCGGCGAGCTGCGCTCAGAGAGCGGAGGAAGCCTACCTGCAGCATCGGTGGCTGTGATGTCGACGCCGTGAACAAGGATGGTGTTCAAGCAATCCAGGTTTCCCTTAGAGGCGACAACATGGAACCTAAGAACAGGAAGCAGCTTGCTTAAGCACAGCTGGTTTATACACAAACCCAGCAACATCCATCAGAAAAGGCAAAGCAAACAGCATACTGAAGGCATTACACAGCACAGACTCGCTTTGGTCAGCATCCAAACCCAGAGTCCTGCAGATTTTACTTTAAGGAAAAAGACGACTTTCTGGAGAACTAATCATCGTTTACCTTGAAGCAGCGAGCCACGTGAAAAGCCAACATGCTTTCCACTTCTCCAGCAGATTCCTGGAATCTGGCAAGAGCAAGAATTGAAACACTGATCTTCCCTTTGAAGTGAAGACTGTTTGAGAATTTGACATTCTAGTTACCTGGCAGTCCAGTGTAGGTGAGGCTAGGATCTAGCGTTTGATCTAGACACAGATTAATCAATTACAGACGTGTATTGAAGAGTTTTTAGAGCAGTAGGAGGGTTTAGTAACGGAGTAACTTTCAGAAGGTTCCCAACACCATGACTGTAATACGGGGACCAACTTACGCAGATCTCCCTTCCACGTCCAGCTTAGAAGGACTGACTCCTTTCTTGGCAAGGATTGATGAAACTTTTTCCACATCGCCCCTTTCAGCTGCTTTCATTAACCTGTCATCATACTTGTTCCAGTCTGTGTTCAGCTGTACACGAGAGAACAAGAAAAGCAAGTGAGCTTATGGTACACCACTGACCTACTGCAGGAGCTCCAATGAAAGGATAAATCACATGGAACTGGGGGGATACCAAAAAAAAAAAAAGCTTTGTTTACAGACAGAGTTGCACCTGTTAGGATGTTTATTTATGTGTAACATCACTGCAGCATTTCGATCAGGCTGTTAGCATTGGATGTACAGTGCTCTGAGACAGTCTGGTTAAGCCACTTTGATCCCAGAGACCTTCGGGATCAAACCTCTTTGGTTTTCCTCATTCTGCTTTGTTCTGCCTACAGGACTAAAACTGTAGCTCCCTATCCTCATTTTCAAATGAGGTTGTCTTTAAGCATCTCCTTCTGGCCCCTCTATCTGCCACGTGAGGCTGCCAGGACAGCTCTCTTCACCTTCTCTTCTCCACATGGATACTCGAATCCTGGCCAAGAAAATACGCCTCTCCCCCAACAGTGGTTGATTAACAACCATGGAAAAACTGCCACACAGGGCTGTGATGAAGGACTTCCGCCCAACGGAGGCAGGACTAGCCTATGTACTTGTGCACATACCCACTTTAGAGAAGAGCAACTTTAATCTCTCCCACGCGCACGTTAAGAACTCTCCCCCCTTCCTCCCCTTTCCCCTGCAGCCCCTACATATCTGAAAAGCTGCCTCAGTCTCCTGCCCTTCAGGGAAGGCACATCAACAGCTCTCTCACATCACCAAGTCCGTTAACTCCAATTACATGAAAAGCAGAGGTTTTCCTTGTTCATCTTTATCATCATTTGAATTGTGATAGTCAATAATCAAGTGTTTCATTTCTGTATATATGAAATATATGTCCAGGTCTCAAAACTTAACAAATAAGATGCAACACAAAGGAACAGCCAAGTGAGGAGCTGCAAGTCCAGAGGCCGCGATGGTACTGCTAACCACTTCCCATCCGAGCCGCCCAGTACGAGCTTTTCACTGTTCATAATCAAGCGGTTTCAGGGGGAAGCGGGCAGATGAGAGCTGCTGCACTTTCCCTCCATCCACTCCTCCACATTACGGGTGCCAGAGAAGTCAGCAGGCAAGACTAAGCTCCGAGATACACAAACGGGACAACTATGAGATGTGATCAACAGCAGACTTCAGTTTTCACCACTTCAGCAACGCCTGAAACCTGAACAACGTTTAGCCCCATGTAAACCACGTTCCCATTTACCAAGGGCAGCTAAGCTTCCCAGCTTCACCCCAAGTTTCACTGGTGTTTGTGTCCAGTGCGTAACTACAACTGATGAGAGAACGTCAGGAGAGCAGAGACCCTGTTTACACCTCAGCAACTCGCACAAGTTGCTTTTCCCCATACTCTTCCATCCACCCGAGGGGTGCAGTTTGGTGCTGCCCATAACCGCAGGCTCCCGCCGAGAGCAGCATCGCTGCCCAGCCACCCTCCCCACCTTCCTGCATCTGGGGCAGGGGAGCACGCTCACCCTGCCGCTGTCCCACAGGCTGAGCCCGAAGAAAACATGCAGGGAGCGTGGCCCCCGAACCGACTCGCCAACCTGACCCCCTGCAGCCAGGTTAGGAGGGGGCACAGGCACCAGCACACAGCAGGAGACTGCAACGGATCCCATACGACACCGGATCACACCCAAACACTGCATGGTACAAAACCGGATGCTGCAGGTCAGTGGAGGAACCCATGACATCAGTGCAGAAACGTACTTACTAATGCAGCTCACCGAATTTGGCCATTCTTAAAACCAGATCTGAACCAGCTCCGTTACGTCCCCAGCGGTTCGCAGATTTTCACGTCAAAAGGATGCGCTAAAACTGTGCGCCAGGACACGGTTCTGTGTCCGGCTGTTCAGAGGGTCAGAATGCAGCTGCGTGTGACAGTCAAGAGACGAACACACCTACTGAGCTGCAGAAGGAAGAAACGCAACCCTCGTAGCTTTGAGCCGCCTGCGACTACCGAAACGCTGTAGAGTGCAAGGAAAATACAAGTCAGTTATAAATAGCCACCACGCACTCAGCCTCAGACATTTGCAGCCCCCACTTTTTTCTTGTTTACTTCAAATTTAGAATTTCAGGCCACAGGCCAAACATCCCACACCAAAACGCAGAGCTTGCTCTCTTCGTTGCCGAAACCATCCCTCCTGAATTCGCTTTACACTTTTCAGGAAAGCGTGCTGTGACACAAGTCTCGCAGCCAAGCTGGACACTGCCAACTCGATATTCAAGAAGCTTTGAACCAAGGAAGGTTTATAAAGGAGTATTATCTTCCCACCTCACTCGACACAGCCAAAGAATTCACTGAGAACAGCGAGACATAAGCAGCCTGTAGGTGCACGGAGTTTCTTATCCCTGTGGATCAGAAGTTCCACGCCTCACCGCATAAAGAGCATCACAACTGGTAAACCAAAATAGGGCCAAAATAGGGCAGCCAAAGAGGAGCTGAAAGCAGTTTTGTTTCTTGCAGTGAGAAAGCAGCCTATCAATCCCACATCCCGCACATGGGGTCATCACAATACGCTCCTCCGCCTCCTTGATGTGCCAAACCCTCTACACAAGTCTCAGCAATCTCCCTGGGAAAGCAAGAGCAAAGTTAAAAAAACAGCAGATATGCAATCTCCACGGTAAAACAACAGTTACACTCCACCGAGACAGAACTACCCTCCCCTTCAGACTGTCTTACACCAAAGACCAAAGTTTTCTGTGACTTAATGTGAAGTCTGGAGGATGCTCGAAGCAGATGCCAAGCCCAGCCAGCGCCATCCCAAAGGGGTCAGAGCCCAGGCTGCACCTGGCACTGGAGCCAGGGTTTGCTGGACAAAGAGGAGGCAAGAAGGAGCATGGCCAAAAACCCCACTGCAACCACCCTACAGGCATTTCCACAGAGGAGCTGTAAGCGTTGTCACCTTTATCCCCCATCCTCGAGATATAAACAAGAGAGCGTAACCAAAGGCTTGGCAACAGCTTGTTCAGGACAACACTTGCTAGAAGGGGCAGGAAGTAGTAGAATAGAAAACCAAGGAAACCAGGCAGGCTAGTGCTGCCCTGCCAAGACGCGGCACCAACCAGCAACAGATCAACTCGCCCACCACCTTCAAACCCCAGCCAGCCCGCTCGGCGTAACGAAGCCTTTGCACGGGTGGTGTCACCGTGCACAGCAAAAGCTGCGTGCATTCCCGGGCTCGAGACCGTACTCCTCCTCAGCTCAAAGGTTCCACAGCTCAAAGGTTCCGCAGCTGTGAGCTACCTCACTCCGCAGGTTTTACGTTTTGCTTGTAAATACTCGGGGAGCTACACAGCGCCAAGCCCTGTCCCCTCATGCCACATTTCACACCCTCAGAGCCAAGCGATCCCACCCTGCACGTTTGCAAGTGGGCTCGGACTGCCCAGTTTCCTACTCGCAGGTTACGCTCACTAGCACAAGCTCACTCAAATCTACACAAAACCCTTCACCAGTCAGTCTTTCCTCCTATTTTGTAAATCTTTGGGTTAACAAGAGCATTTTTTTTAAGTTACTGTCATCTTAATACAGTTTTCCTTTGCCTGTAACACTTCGGAAGAGGATACAACTTAATTATGATGTACTGAATAAACGTTGTTGCCCCAGCATTTAATATTCAAAGAAAACTCCTTGCGGGAAGCATTGTGAACAACAGACAGAACCCACGTTAATTAAAAAGCAAGAGTTACCAGGCATTAACAAAATTCAGCCTCTCCCATTTTTGCAGTTGCAAGCTACCGCCGCTGACACGGAATCCAAGATACCTAGAATCATAGAATGGTTAGGGTTGGAAGGGACCTTAAAGATCATCTAGTTCCACCCCCCCTGCCATGGGCAGGGACCCCTTCCACTAGACCAGGTTGCTCAAAGCCTCATCCAGCCTGGCCTTGAAGACATCCAGGGATGGGGCATCCACAACATCTCTGGGCAACCTGTTCCAGTGCCTCACCACCCTCTCTGTGAAGAATTTCTTCCTGATATCTTGATATCCTGATACCTACCGTGTCTTTAGCTGCACAAGAAAACCAGCAAGTCATCCTAGACCTCTGCCAGAAGCAATCGGTACCCCGCATCGAGGCGCCCAGCCGGAGCCCCAACAGGCTGCGTCAAGAAATCTATTCTCTCTGCTGCCCCGAACTCGGGTTGTTCCCTCCTCCGCTTAACTCGGATCCCCAAGTATGTCTTCCCCCATCTTCAGGATCATCTTCAGACTTCATAACTCGTGAGAAAGCAGGGGCTACGGCCGGACGGCGAAGCCCTCGGCGGTCCGGCCGCCCCAGCGACCCAAGGAAAGCCGGGCAGGGCTTCTGCTGCCGCGTCGGACCGACTGCCAGCACGCCTCAGGCTCACTAGTAAATACTGCCCGGATCGGAAATATCTTGTAAACAAGACCGAGACAGTCTCATCAGCCCAGATCTATTTTCTGATAGCCCAGCACTCGATAGCCGAGCGAAAGAAAGCAATAGCTACGAACGCATTCCCCGCATGCTCTTGCCCTGAGTAATGCTTTTTAGACTCAGCGTTAACTAACGAGACAAGCACGCACGAAACCTTACTACAGCGTTACGTCCTGCAGACACGCGCACGCTCGCTTTCAAATAACACACACAGTAGTCGAATTAGCTGTCCGCAGACGTTAACCAAGGTCAGGCTCACCCCCACGAATAACACCCAAGAACTGAAATACTCGCAGGAGCAATTCTTTCCCCCATTCCAGCGCACCACAGAGCCGCAGCCAGACTCACGATCAGACTTCAGACAGTCACAACCGCAGAGCAGATGGAATGCATGATCCTATTTTGACAGAAATGTAACCCATTTTAAATTAGAAAACACACATGCCTCTGCTTTAAAAAAAAAAAAAATCTCCTTTTAGAGCGATGAAATCCGTTCTGAATAGAACCTGGTTTCAGCTTACGGCTGCTGCCAGCCTGTCTCCCAACACGCGAAACAAGAGGAGTCACGGAGGCTGTCACAACATCAAACAGGCAGCATAATGATTAACAGCGGGGAAGATGTAGACTCTCACCAGTCTGAAATGTAAGCGGCGACCCCCTGAGTGCTGTATTTAGAGGACTAGGTCAACACGACAAGCAATGCAGAAGGGAAACAGGGTGCGTGGCCACAAAAACCACATGCGCACACACACGAGGCTGCAAATAACCTAATAAACGGGTCTTCTCAGGAAACAGATTTTAAGCATTACCCATATTTGCACAAATTCACTCTCTCCCAGCGATTCCCAAGCTATTGCACACCACTTGCTGCAAGCACCAGCCCTTTGCCTCGCAGCACCAAGTTGTTTCTCAGAGGAACCTTCCAAGACTAGAATTAGCATCCACGTGACAAAGCCACTCCAAAAAAACACAGATTACCGGAATGACTGTGTCCTCTCAAGTTATCTTCTCACCAGAACCCAGTCTGCCTCCTCAAGCTAAAAATGGCATTTGGGGGCAATTTAAATACTCTTCACAAGTGACAGCAACAAAACCCCCCACACACCTAACTGAAATCAAAAACCCAACCAAACCCCACACCTAACTGAAATCAGTTTGGTGAGAAACCCCGTAGGCAAGACCAGGTGCCTTCCAGGTGAACAGCCCGTGATTTATCTATCCCAAAGGTTTCTCCCGTCTCCATTTGTACCTGCCCGCAGACACTCCTCACGACTGAGCCGCACTCCCCTACACTAAAGACCCTCCCAGGGCAGCTGTGACCACAAGGTTAAGGATTGCTCAAGCACATTCCCGCCTCCTGCCCCGCTCAGGCCAAGCAGACAGCAGTTCTCGGGAAGCACAGCTTTCAGGGCTCCGCCAGCACCGAGCAGCTCCGGTAAACACAGCCCGGCCACAGGCTCACACGGATTCAAGTGTTCTCCAAGGCAGCTGAAGCTCGGAGGGCTCAAAGGGCAGACACCAAGGAAACGGGCTTGTGTTGCATTCATGCAGCATAACGAGAGTTTGGAAACTAATTCTGGTTTTTCCAAACAAAGCCCATCACGGGATATGCCTCTGCAGGAGACGAATGGCCAAGCCCAGCGCAGATGCCTACCTAAGGCCAATACTGACCGCTTTCCGGTGATAGAGCCCCTGGTTTTCCTAAGCTCAGCCTGCCAGGAATTCTTCCCAGCTCCAGGTCTCTGAGGATAAGGAGATATCCCATCCCCACCTTCTGGCTAGGATCACATGCTGTACCTGGTGTATCTTTACGCTGTCCGGACACGCTCCGTACACCCCTCTGGTACCCTAACACCGTCAGGAGTGACGGACATACATCCCAGCATGCCCAGAGAAAGGTCAAACCGAACAACCACAGAATAATTTTCCAAAGCCTCTCCTAGCTTTCAATCGATGACTTTAGCTTCCTGGGCTAGAGGGATTCTACCCGCACACTTAATTCTGAATTAATTGCTGTTAACTTACCCAGTTTTTCCTCAATGCCAGGTAAGCTCATAGCATCCTCAACACCCTTTAGTGACAGACGTGCAACTCTGCATATCGCACGAACAATTATTAACTTCTATTCTCTCTGAACCCCAAACCCCCTTGTTTCACCAGGTATTTAGCCAACCAGAAGCCAAGCTGCTTCATCCATCCGCAGCTCTCCTCTCGTAGGTATCTTTGGACCATCACGTAACATTACTACATCCTCCCGTGCTGCGTGCCACAACGCTCTCAACCAGCACCAATTCAGGCAGCGGGGAGAGAGCCAAGAGGGACATAGTTGGGAGAGTGTTCATAGGAGACCCTTTAAAAGTGCAGCCATCAAAAACAAGCCGGTTCCTCACCCACCGTTACAATTACGTACTTAAAGATGAGAGCAGCGAGAGCATTGGTGATGGCCCCCAGAGGTATTTACACTCAGGGCATGTTGGTACCCGGGCTAATTACTCTCCCTTTCCTGAGCAAAGCAAGATGTTCTGGTTACCAAAGGCAGTGGGAAGGGCACAGCGGCGCTGGCACGGGGAGCCGCGGGGTGCCATCAGCAAGGGTAGCTCGAGAGGCTACAAAAACATAAATATCTGTACACTGCTGACAACCTGGGAAGCAACTAGCAAAGTTTATGTTTAAAGTTCACTGTTGTTAGAGGATATGTGTTTATCAACAAGCAAACGTAGCACCATCCTTGGGGAACATGCGCTTGAAGCCACTGGGCATCTCCTTCTCAACCAAGAAAGGCAAAGCAGGTGGGGTCCCTGAAGCCACGCTCCGTATTACAGCCCACCCCCCCCAGCACCCAAGCACCGCCACTGAGGAACTCCAGGCAAAGGAAGGGCTTTATTAGAGATCCTGAGACACAAGAGGAGACAATATTGGGGTTACGGGGACCCAAGCAGGACAGGAAAAGGAAGATCCCAACCCTGATGGCCTTTGGAAAGCAATCCATAACCCTTTAATCCCAGCAGCTCTTCTGCTGAGAAGCAAGCTGCGGCGAGTTGACTTGTTGCTGAAACAGAAGTACTGTTCAGGAAACTTCCACCTGAACCGGAATTACCCATCCAGGGTGTCTAGCCCCTACTGCCTATACAACTGCAGAACAACCACGTAAATAAAGGGCGTATCTCAATAAAAAATGGACAATCTTTAGCCATGCTCTAACTCACTTAAGATACACCAGTTGCAGTGCAAAGCTGGCAAACGTGTGAAAGCGAACACAGCTCCTCGCCCGTGCCAGGCTAGGCAGATAATCCTATTAACGGGGAAAAATCAAAGGGGACACATCCTCCTCTAATGCCATTAGCGGGTGACATAAGCAGGTAACGCACACTGAGAGCGGAGCGCTCTGGTAAAACATTGCCGCGAGCACCCACCAGTATATGAATGGCCCTAAAAAACACCTGGACAGAACACACCAACATCATACCTACGGAAATGGTTATAAAACTACAGTTTCTGAAGTCTGAAGACCATTCTTGTCAAAGGGGAGAGTAAAAAGTACTAATTGCAGGCCCATCTTTGTCAGAAGGTATTAGTTTTCCCAGTTTGGCTCTCCGGGGGTTCTCCTGCCGAAAGGCAAATGCTTGGTGGCAGAGGAGGGTCGCTTGGAAAGCGTGTGACGGGCAGGGCGAGCGCGGACGAGAAGGGCAGGCTCGGCACAGCTATCAGCCCACACGCTCCATTCTCCTGCTCCTTCCACAGAGGTCAGAGTACGGTGGTGATGAAAACAACTGTCTGAACAGACACACCCTGCGATTTCATATGGCACAAACCGACGGCTTTTGAAGGAGTTTGATTTGTGCAAAGACCACGCAGGCTGACAACAGGAAAGGAGAGGTGAGGCTACTGGAACTGGTTTCCAAGGTGGGCAGGGGGTGTACTTTCCCTGGGTAGAGATGCACATCAGCTAATGCCCATCCACCCCGCAGACCTGGGCTTCGCCGCGGATGCTACGCTTGGGAAAGCGTCAGCTCCAATGGAGGAAAACAGCATTTTGTATTTCATAAATATATCCTGCTTCTCAGGATCTCTGTTCCCATGCAAGCGTTCTGGAGCTTGCAACCGCAGGAGTAAGGTGTACGTAGTCTGCAGAAGGGAAACCACAGCGTGAACAGAGGGTTGTTTCACCCAGCAGGTCCCCACACGCAGCACGTTATGTTATCACCTCATGTACTGCAATTCCTCTGCCTGCGGAAAATTAGCGAATGCTACGGAGTGGGCAAGGCCTAGGCTAAGGAGTGAGCAATAGTAACAGCCTTCCTAGGACCGCTCTGGTTCTGCATTCTCAAAGAATTTGTACCGACAGCTCCGCTGCTGTGCGTCTTCTTTAAATGCAACTGCATCCTGTAATTAATACGGGTAATAGTCTCCTAACGAACAGGTTAAGGCACAACAAACAGCAGTCAAACAGCCTCACCGTAAACACTGTGTACCTGTTCCCAAGGCATCTTCCTGCCTACGACAAGTTTCCATTCCCACCAAGATCAAATTATTAGGTACCAAGAAAGTATCCAAATCTACTCCCAGCGATGTGACCCATCAAACAGTCCTCCCAAAACTGTCGTTGGGGCTCAAAATCCGTGTCAAGTGGTACATTTCCA